CATGTATATTATATATTTGTGTTTTAAAAAATAGAAGTCTGTCATTTGAAAAAAAAAAACAATTATTTCAAATATCATCAACCTATTCTTGATTATTTTGTTTGACTTGATTCGAATTAGAAAAATATATTTTGTAAATCTAATTCAAATAAAACAATTAAAATTAATTGGTTGAAATTTTATTTTACCCAAAATCAAAATTAGTCCATTACATCAACATCTCTAAATTTGTCTCCTAATATTATATTATTGAATTCTTAATTCTTTCGACATCTAATTTTACTAAGTTAGTTTATCTCAAACTTGGTTGACAAATCCTTTATTATCAAATATAAATCTTTAATTGTTAGGCGAGCCGTGAGCTTAATTAAAAATAAACATTAGTTTCAAGAAATAATAGCGGATGCATAGATTCAAACTCTATTATCAAGCATAAGAAATATATATAAATTGTCCTTGACTGACTCTGACTTTGTAACAAGATCAATGAGGAGATTTAGCCTAAACAACTTATATTAATTGTGAGTGACTACCATTGTCATAGTTGATATCAACTATGAGATTTTGATCAGATGACAAGGAACAACTGAGTAAAAACAGGAAACATTGTCAATATTTTAGCTTACCTATATTCATGTGTCCTTTGAATTAATGATGTTCCAATTATAAAAGTGACGAAAAACAGTTGAAAAAAGAGTCAAAGATATACACTCAAAATGGATACAGGCTAACGTTAAAGTTCATACTTGGTAATTTAAAGCTCAACTTTGACAAGAATAGTAAGGTAACAAAACATGTTTGAAATATATATTAGTGTTAAAAAAGCAATATAAATCAAACAAAGAAAAGACAGGAAAAAAATCTAAAGTTAATAAAAATAAAGTCAAGTATCAAATTTAACTAAACCCTCCCAAATTAGGCTAAGCATAAGTTTGGATTGGCTAAACATAAGTTGTCTTTGACTCTTACTTTATAAAGAACATTAAGGAGATTTAGTGTAAACACCTCACTTTAACTGTGACCAATTATCAATATTTTAATTAATATACTCTCTGAATTTATATAAACAGAAAAAATAATTTTACATAGATTAATAGAGGTAATTAACTATATTTAATTTTTATGATTTTATATAAAATATATATTATATTTACTAAAATATTCTTAAACACATTTATTATAGATAATGTTCTTATTTATTGTTATAGGAGTATTTTTTTTTATTATAAACATTAAATAAAATTAATTTGATTAAAATTTGCTTATATTTTAGTAAAAAAATATTTAAACATTTTTATTTATATATAAATCCAGAAGAAGTAATGATTAAGAGATTTAGATTAATGGACAAGTTAAAAATGTTATATATAAAAAAATATCATTATAAATACAATATATATATATATAACTCTATTTGATATATAATTACACAAGATTTTATTTGTTAATTTTGAATGAGTTTTAATAATACATATTATGTGTCATTATAGTTTATACCTACATTTTTAATAATATACCAATATATATTATATTTAT